TTAAAAATGTACAAACTGCACAGAAAAAATCGTTAGAATCAGATTACAAGTGCATGAGCTCATCGAGAAAGTGTCATTCTTATCGATTATCTCAGTTTGTTGCAGAGGTCCAACAAAGAAAACTGAATGGCCTTCATTATTGTCAGTCCAATTAGTGTTTGTTATCAATCTAAGAAGATGAAGTATCCTTTATTGAGTTACGTCTACATATTCGTGATGCTCATTCCCAGAAGCAAGAGAATTGGAGCATTGTCTTATTCTTTTAATTAAATTATGCAAATGACGAGCTTGACGCCATCAATGGATGTTTTTTGTGTTCGTGATTAACCTAAAGTAAAGTTGCCTTTTGATTAAGATTACCTGCACTAGAAAATATTGAATAATGAGAACATAAGTTCCTACTGCAATCTATTGTGATCCAAAAGAATATTGGAATTCATGTTATACAGGAAATACTTACTTGCTTATGGAAGATTCGATATGTGAATAAAAGTGATTTTAAATATTAGCAAAAAAGTTCATTTTAGTATTGTTCACACAAAATATATTTTTTTAGGAATAGGTTTTTGCTTAAAGTTTTTATGGCCTAGATATGTAACCAGTAGAAATTTTAGTACCTTTGATCATAAACTTTTTAATACCTTGTCTAGTGAATAAAGTGTAAATGAAACAGAGGACTTAAGAAAGTTCTTTCAGCTCATTAAAATTGTTTCGAGTTCGAAAATTATCAAATCAAATAATCGGGGATTACTATAGCAGTTAGAATGATATCTACACAATTAATAAGCTGCGCCCTTTTCAGATATTTTTCAATGAATTGTCGACATATCACTTCCAGTGGTTTATTGTAAGTGGATCAACTAATATCAACAAATTTTGATTGATTTTAGTGCCGGTAAATGTTTCTCTTCTGTGCAACTAGAGCTTAGACTTTTTGGTTACCACACATCCGTTCACTAATATTATAGTTTTGAAACTGATTTACGCAATTAATAAAGGATATTATTTTTTAAAGATTTTTGTTTGGAATGTCAGTCACGGATATTAGTTTTTAGACATCCAATGTTTCCCAGGCCTATACATAAGCAAATAAAGTAATCTATTGTTTCTTTTAACTTGTTCTTTCTTGAAGCTTCCGCATTTGCAATTGAGGCGAATATTTGATTTTTGGCGTAGGTCTCTACAAACCAATGCCATAACTTCCAAAAACTTGCCCTTTACTTAATCGATGCTCAAGAGAGTTTAGTGACTATTCGCATTTATAAGATACGTACCCATCAAAAAGTTAACGTTTTTAATCGAAACTAGTATTATTCTGTATTAGACGGTTATCGATATAGAGCATTGTATCAGTATTTAATCTTAGAAGTTCTTAGCAAGGTCATTTTATTAGAACTTGTTTAGTCATCGGTGTCTTTGCAATGGGGTCACATGTATGTAGATTAGCATGTTCGGGTTACCATCAAATGTGGCTTAAGTAAGGCTCATACGATTTCTTGTATCATATTGTATTTAAAATCACTGTCCTTCTGACATACCATGGCATATTTGATAGGAACCAATTTCCATTGTCCATTTTGTTGTCATCACATTTTTGTAAATCGAGAAATGTATATATAATACAATACTACTATATATTTTATTGAGAAGGTCAAACGATTATCTGAAATAGTTGACCATTTAGTCTTCATGTATTATTTAAAGGATAAATTCTATGTTTGCCTTAACTTGTAGATAAATTTTTTTTGAGATATAATAAGTTGTATTTTTTTTAATTTAAGATTTATTTTTTTTTTAAATTAAATAAAAAACCTTTTGTTTTTAAGTGAACTTTATTACTGATTAATTATTACTTTATCTAAAATCGGAGGAATTATACATACATATAGTTTTAATAATTATTAAAATCATTTTTAATATACTCGATTTCCTTAATTAAAAACGATTATGTAGCATATATTTTAACATTAAAATGGATTTTACTATATATATTTTCTATTGATTTTTAATTAAACAAATGCTCAACGATATTCAGATATATTCTACTGCAACTTAAATTTTGTGTGGTTGTATGTATGGTTTTTATATTTAAATGATTTGTTTTTTATGTAAGAATTTAATACATGAAAATTTTTTTTAATATTTTTAATTTTTTTCTTATATATCAACAATTATTAAAATTAAATTCGATTTGTCAAAACAATTTTTGAAGTTTAAAATACTTTTTCAATTTCGGTTTGCAGTGAGGAAATGCAAAAATTTTGGGTACTTATTTACGGGGTCTATTTGCTGTCAATTGTTAGATTAAGAATTTTTAAAATATGTTTTATATATTTTCAAATACTTATATTAAAATCTGTTTTAAATATTTTCATTTTAAATTTAAACGTAGCGCAAAATTTTCAAATGCAAATCGGGTGAAATATAAGGTTCAAGCATTAAAACCGAAAGGATAATTCAAGGATTTGAGTGAACTTTTCCCAAACATCCTTATTTACGTCTATAATAACGCTTTTATTGTTTGTAAATGGCAGGCTATTTATTTATTTATGTAAATATACTTCTAAAGAAACTATTTGTGTTTAAATCTTTTTAGATGTGTTGTAATAGTGCCGAGATTATGAGAGCCTTCACACCTAAATTATTTGCACCCAACTATTTTGCAATTTGAGGAATGTTTAAAAGCGCTACTTCTTCTAAAAATAATGTAAACATATATATATTTTTTACTTTTATATATATTTTTATATACATTTATTTATGCATATATGTATATACAGTGCATTTGGACTTATTTCGAACAAATACATGAAGTCATTCCTTGGTTTAGAATACGAAAGCGAAGAGCAGGATGTATGTCTTCAGTGTTTAATAGATAAAGGATATAGAAGTAAGATCTAACCTTAAAATTTTTTCCAAGAAATCTCATTAACTCAATAATAGCTTAACTAAAACAGACTTTAGCCAAACACAATAGAATCCATTAGTCATTTCCTGTGTCTTTGTCCGGGACAACTGACGAATCGTCTTCAAAGACTAAAAGAGAGTTTCTTCTACTGTGCTGGTAGAGATAATATACCCGTATTATCTTGTCATATTTGTTTTGCTTAATTTTTAGTTGAAATGCTTTACACAACCAATTATGGACCTAAAACCAAGGAATCATACGCTTGTCCATGTCCAATACTGACTGATACACCTTTTATATATGCTCATCTATTATATATATGTTTTTAATATTTATGCTTTTATATAAATTTTTTAACAATTATTTATATATATGTATATATATATTATTTTGGAATTTCATATTTTACTACGTTTTAGTATACTTCTTTAGTACTTTAAAGGTGTAGCTCAAATGTATATATATATCATAATAATAAACCTAATATATATGGGCATGTTAAGACTCAATAAGCGGTTTTTTTAATAATAATTTAATTTTAAAATGTATTAAAACTATATTTGTCAAAAACAATATATTGAAACTAAATTAAGCAGTGGTACTTTTATATGGTCCATTTTCTCATACTCACATTTTTAAATAAAAGCGAAGCGAACTATATATATGTGGAGGATATATATATATATATATATATATTGTATCATTGAAATCTTTCAGGTGTACTTCAGATTCCTTTCAAGAAATTTTCTTTAACTTAATGAAGGTAGAGAAGGAGATTGAGTGATTGTAAAAGTTGATGGGTCTAAGTGGCGCAAAGGTTTCTAATTTATCCAAATAGTGAATTGGCCATATTATGTTAGCACATACAACGAGGTAAGATTCTAAGTTTTAAAATTCAAAAGAGCAGTTGTTAGAGAACATTATTTTTAGACGATCTATAATTCAAATATAGCTTACCAGATAATGGAGTTATTAGACTTTCATAGTGGAATATCAAGACCTGATATTTGCATAGAAAACCTTCTTGTGTTTATTTTACTTTCATTTAATTGAAGAAGTTTAAGAATTGTGAAAAAAATTAAACTAAAACTAAATAACTAAAACTAAATAACTAAAGCTATAGCATATACAATCAGAGTAAGGTCCGAAGATGAAAAAATTAAATTATTCAGTTTTAAAATTATACCATATAGATCGCACGTAGTGATAGAATAGGTATATTGATATGCTGACGTCAAGGAGTGGACTAATGCTCTGTAAGAAGTATTGGAAAAGCTTCAATTTATGTGAAGCTATCAAAGCGAATAGATAAATTTAATGAATTAAACTTATTTTATCGAAAAAAAGTTTGTGAAAGTATAGTTCAAGAAATTAAACACTTTTTTTTCTTTCTCTATTTTTCACTTAGGTAAACTAATGTCTCATCCATGAATCTTAGAAACGGAAATTTGACCATTTCAAAGAAAAAAAGTTTACTTTATATGTTTATGTTGAAGCTATTTAAGTCAGTGCACTTGAGTACTTTTACTCTTTATTAACTCGAGGTATCTTCAAAATCCCTATTTACGCCTTGACTGGATTAATGTTTATCACTTCATCAGACTAAGCAATAATTGACCGTAGATCTGCATACTCATAAAATCTGGAAGTCCTAGTAGCGTTAGAATAAAGCTTAATATTTTTACTGTCCATGTTTAACTCTTTATTTGGAAAAATATCAATACTGGTTATATTCTGTGAAAAGAGGGATCATTATATAAAACTAAGTGAATTAAAAGAAAATAAAGTCCACTTAAAGTTAGTATCAAGATACATCATTATTACAACAAAACTCATACAATATCAAGGGAAAAAGAATTATACATAATAAATATACAGAAGAGAGCAAAGCTAAATTTTTAAAAGATTTTCATATTCTCCAGATACCACTGCTCAAATAGTTTTATGAAGAATGAAATGAAACTAAAATTAATTATAATTTTGAATAAATCTAATCTTAATTCAATCTTAATTAGCATTAAAAAAATAAAATTAATGAAACATGTAGAAAACCATTATTACATACTATAACTTATATAGAGAGGGTGAAAAAATAAACCTAATTATAACTTAAAATTACATTGGCCAATTTTTTACCACCGGAATAAGACACACATATGAAATATAAAATAAATTATTCAAATTGTTCAGAACTAAGCTTAGACTGCGGTCAGAGTACTAACTAAGAACTAAGCGAATCTCAAAGATATTTAACTGAGACCAGGCTGCCTATTCGGTTTAACAGTCCGAATTAACTAACAACCATTTAAGATATTTAAGCTCCTCCAAAACTTAAGACTGTGTTAAATGTTAAAAAAAATAAAATTCCTTCAGCTTTAATAAATAATTTAACAGTTGTTTCTTTATATAATTCTTTAACATAAATATAGTTTTATTAATAATACTGCACTGGCATCACTGTTATGACTTTATATAAGTGTGTATATATGAAATTTTTATTATGATCTTAGGTTCTCACATGAACGTTTCTTGCACTTTTTCTTAGTTCTTACTTTGACCGTTTGAACGTAGCTTATGGAACATAATAATCAATTAATTAACAAACTAACTAACTAAATTTTGAGCACTGCTTTGGCAGCACTTTTTAAAGTTCAAGCAATTTGGCAACGAGTACTGGCAGAACTACACCACCCAACATGACGCCCATTTTCTTTGCCGAATTACATTTATTTGTCTCACAGTCCTCACAGAATATTCGTTGCACACTACTCTCGGTTGGGTCCTTTTGACAATGATCCAATGGATCCGATTTGTTGGTATAGTAACAAAAACGCTTGGTTATGGTTTCTCCATTAACTGTAAGAAATATAAAGATATATATGTGTATATAGCATTCGCGGATTTTAATCGGGACAAAAAACATTAAAAACTACTTTTTTCAACGGTTTTACGGCAAACAGCGCGTTCATGCATGGAATTGATTGTGTTATTGCAATGGCGTGACACACTTATTCTGCGGTCCTTCAATATCTCAGTTGGTATATTATCTTCCTGGAATGTGGTGTCGCAAAAGTCTTTTGAACCGATTGTATCTGAACTGCAGTGCCAACATTCTAGGATTTTGTTTTTTTCCGCTGTAAACAAGAGAAAAAGAATAATATATGAGAAATGAAAATTTTTTTTTATTTGTGTCTAAAAACATTTTAATATATTTATAGATAATTTAAAAAAAAATAGCCGTAATATTTGCTAAACCATAACCAACCGAGAAACTCGAGAATCTTCTCTCAAGCATTAAAATAAGGTTTAAATATGAAGATTGTGAGGAGTGCATATCTGGCAAGAGATAAAACAATCCTAATTGGTTCCAGGTATGTTTATATGACAATGCTGTTTACAAATTTGTCAACATTATCTCTGCTGAACATATTACTCCAAAAAGAATATAGATATTCCAATTGTATTATTTTGTTGTAAACGTTAAGGATGTTTCTATTTTAGATTAAAAATTGCTGTGATATATATTAATATCTAACATTGATATGCCATACTTTGAGGTTTCTATAAAATAAGCATCAAAGACGTGGGCACTAAAAACGAGGGTATATTGGGTGGCGGCATGCTTTCGCAGAACCAATTTAGTATGTGATGGTGCATTATGATGCAAAAGCATAACATATAAATATTATTCCTTGCTAACATTTCAACAGGTAGATCAAATTCAGAATGCACCACACCACAATAATTGGAGAGAAATAAAAAAATACTTTGTTTTCTGATATAAGCTTTATGGCTTTGGATCACCTTTTGGACAGCATTCGCGTGATTGAACTTGATTTATGATCAAAGCTTTTTCGTTTTGTATCATCTTTTAGACGATATTCACATGATTCGTCATTTATATCCAGATTGAATGAACAGGTTCTAGTCTCTAGTCTAGTTATCGTATCTTTCATTTAAACTGAACAGTCCAATAGCATTGTTTTCTTGCTAGTTTACTTTACTTTATGCAGCAGTGCTTCTCTGCTTCGCTACCCTATTAAATGCATAAAGGACCAGTTTAGTGAAAGCAGTGAAGTTATATTTCTCTTCTGAGGGCTTATAAAGTTATGGACCCTAAATTTTCACAACTCATCTCCTCTCCCACAAAAAGCTATAAGGGCTTTAACGCGACGCTGCTGTTTCAGAAATTGAGTGTTTTCGGCATCAAGGAAATTTGCGTTATTTTCAGCCATGAAACATCTTTGGAAATGGTCTAGATAGATTTAAAAAAAAATGCTACCAGGTTTAGGGAGGTTTTTAATTGTCAAACGATGATATTTAATTACTAAATCTGTGATTTGATTTATCAAATCTAAGTCATCCAAGTCCATTTTTATTTTTGACGTTTTCCATGATATTTTTAAAGTGTTCATACTAATTGTAAACTTTGTTTAATGACATAGCCTGGTCACAAAAGGTCTCCGTAACATTTGTGAGGATTTTCCAGCAGAAATTTCATCACGTAAGCAAAGTTTGACAAGATTAAGTAAGGTCAAGTGTAAGGTGGATGAAATCCATATCAATTAGTAAAGAAAGCCATTTTGATTCCACATTTCTCGTGATAACGGGTAGAAGAATGTTCAAGATTAGACATTTTAAAAATCGTGTTGTTCTTGAAATTATTGGAAAAATGCAAATGTTGACATGAAATTTCACTCAGATATCAGAAACGGTACTGAAAGAGATGAGAAAAGAATAAAGAGAAGAGTTGCTAGAATCAAAGAGCCATAGACTGAGTATAAAATTTTACCTAATTTTTAATATGTTGTATATAATTATTTATTTATTAAGGAATAAACTGTATGAAAATTATACTAAAAGACAAAAGAAATAATTTTTTCTTGTTTTAAATCACTGGGGACAGTTAAATTATAGCAACGTTCATAAAGGAACGAATTCGTCCAAAGTTGAAAGGACAAACATAAAGCATAAGAAAAATATTTGCAACGTTACCTTTTAGAGTTTTTTGACATTAATAAAAAAAAATACATTTAAATAATTTTCGCCAAGTATTCCTTTAACAATTGCGTGCTAAGTACTAAAATCCTTGGCATAAATTCCTATTAATTTATTACCTATAAAGCTCGCATACGCGTTTCGGATAGTCGTCGTATACCTTGGAGAACCAAAAATTGAGTGGTAGAAGTGAAAATTTGCAAAAAATAAAATAAAAGCGAAATGTGTCAAGTCAGCGAAATGTGTGCCAAAATTCTTCGCGACTTTCTGTTTTTTGTTTTGCTTGCGCTGAGCAAAAGACGTTGACATCATCTGCTTTAGTTCGGGAAGAGTGGGAGAGATATTCCATGGTCGCATGTTAAGCACAGATTTTTAATGATAAATTTTTACTGTTATGTTATTCTTCTTTGTTATATTATTTTTACTCCATTTTTTGGATGGTCTAGGGCAGTCGCTTCGGCGCCTACAAGACACTAAATTGAATTAAATGTTATACGTTTCCTGTCACGTACGGAGGAGTTGGCTGTTCACTGCGTGTGTGTTCCACAGTTCTTGAGTGGGTTAATGAAGAAGAATGAATTTTAGCAAATACATAAATTTGCATTCCCATAAGTCGAGCATTTTAATTCGATGGGAAAATATGTATAAAGCTTTTGGACACTTGGGTAAGACTTAAAGCAATTAATTTAGAAAATAAAAGCATAAACGAGGGTTTTATACGAGTATGTACATTTGTTTTAAAAAATACATAATGAGTTTTATTTTATGTTTGGGTCTAATGGAGTCTGACATCATATTTGCTTTTATCATTTTTTTTATATGAAAATCAGTACAACAATTCAACAGTTTTTTTTTATTGATTAGCATGCTTTACATGAAATGGTGTATATCTCAGATCTTAAATGCTGAAATTTAAGATTATTTAATTTTTGCGGTAAAGAATAATTGAATATAGGCTGGAAAATTTCAGCGATATCCATTTATTTATACCTAAGTTGGCACTTTGTATAGAAATATAGAAAACAAATTACGACTTTTATTACGACATGCATTAGACCCTCCCACAAGTTTGCATAAACCCCAACCCCCTTCACGTATAAGCCCATCCCCTCGAAATTGTTTACAGAATACGAAATGAGTCAGAACATACTATGCAAATTTAAAATACAGAGTGAACATCATCTATGCCCAAGTGCACTGACTCAACTAACCTCAACATAATAATCATCTATGGAGAAAAATTGTATGGGAAGCTTTCTGAAGCCCTTGTGTTGTGAATCGATGGTAAATATTGAATTATACAAATACTTTATTAAATTGAATAACATTTGGACTTAAAAAAAACTACTGTGAAACGTTTCCAATGGAAAGCAAAGACTGTTGCTTTTTTAAAATGAATGCAGTGACTTATAATTAACAGTCGACAAGGATAAAAACACGAACTATATACCAATTTGCTTGATTATCTCTAGATGTGACTTCCATTAACCTATTTTCTATTTTTAAACATATACGTTCTATTAGTAGGGTACAACTTTTCATGAAAAAAAAAGATTATATGTAAAAAGGCTCTTTGAAAATCTTTGTGAAGAACATAATACAGAGGAGGTTGGCGGAAATAAAATAGTTAGATCATTAATGTGTAAAGTATCGAGTTAAGAAGAGATAATGTCAAAAAATGATCTATTTTTTATTTCCAAACTAAAACGTTTTTTTGAAAGTATACAATTTTTCGTAAAATCAAGAGTTCAAATTAAGAAAGGCATTTTAAAGACCTTTATGAAATGCACAATATACGGGGAATGGTGGAAAACAAAAAGTAAGATAATTGTTGAATAAAGTGTTGAATTAGACAGAGATGATAACAAGAAATGACCTATTCTTTAAATCCAAAGTCGAAAAATTTTTTTGAAAGTGCACAATTATTCTTGAAATGAAGAGATTATATTGAAAAAGGCTATTTCAAAACCCTTTAAGTAATGCATAATATAGGGGATCATGCTGAGGAAGCAAAAGTTAAATTTTTTTTGGAAAAAAATTGAGCTGAAAAGACATTATTTGAAAAAAGAACAACCAAAATAAATCAAAAACATTCCTTTCTATGTTAGATACAAAATTCTTAATACACCCCTTGTATACTATAGTTATTTTTACTTTTTCTTAATAATGAATAATAATTTTATTTGTCATAATAAACTCTCTAATGACTTTATTTCTAAATGACCTCATTTTTAAGACCTTTTTAGGGACATTTCCGCTTAGTTGATTTCAGTCAAAATAGTTACCATAAAATTATACTCTTTTTTGATAATTTTGTGAATTTTATTTCTTCCCTTCTCCAAAAATTCAATGCAAAATTTAGATACTCTATAAAGACTTAATTGAACATAATGCTATATTCATAGCCATCCACAGTTATTTTGTCATAATAAAAGGAAATTTGATAATTGCAAAACAAGGATATATTGTTGAGCATATACAGAGCTACCCCCTAACTGATGAAAGATGTGTATTGGAATGTATCTTTGAGCTTCCAAAACATGTAATAATAACATAATCTGCAGAAATTATCACTTCGAAATGAAAACTGAAACAAACAAGTATGTATCCTGCTAAAATTGCTGTGCTGAATGCAAAAAAAAAAGTTTTCTCAACTTTACATCCCTAAATTACATACCAATTCAACCCCTCATCTACTCCCTTAAACACATAGCAATGCCACACGCATAATTATTACATCATAGGAGGCTGTGTGACATAATAAAGAACTGTGTCGCTCCTGCCTTGTAATCATATCCTTCAATCAAGTACAAAATAAACCACACTAAAGTCACATAAGGCAAACATTTGCAAGAAGACCAGAAGACAATGGCAGCGCCGCTACGTCAGCAGTGAAGTAAACAGATTTCCGAAGTAAACTAAGGATTTGCTGGCCGCAGCAGTGGTCTCGGCTAATGTTTTTCAATGTTATTATGGATGATTTCCAAATCACAATTTTCGTTGCTGCCGTTTTTAGTTGGGCGCGTGTTCGACTTCGGAGCGGAAGGATAGTGGAGGTCTGGTGGTATGGTGGTATGGTGGTATGGCAACATGTGGCGACAGACACTGATGGCAATAGCAATAAGATACTCTAGTG